TTTTTTTTTTTGTTTGTTTTTTGTTTTTGTTTTTTTAAACTGAAGGGAGCAGATCCTAAATACTCTTTTGGAACCTCAGGTGGTTTTGAGACACAGAAATTATAAATTAATGGTGACTCAACATGACAATATGAGAAGCCCTTTTTGATGCTGTGAACTGTGTGGCATGTTGAGTTTGAACCCTGAACAAAGTGATGAGCCCTATGGGAGGCAATTCTTACCAAAGACGGAGTTAGTATTTTGCCACAAAGCATCATGTTTCCAGACCTTTGCTATCCACAATGAACCTTAATCCTTACCCGTAAAGCCTAAGTGTTAGGCACATATTAAGCATGTTGGTATTTTTGGAGACATTTACTTTAGTTTTCTGTGTTAAAAATGTATCCATATAATCTATCTGGTAACAATGCTAGAGTAGCCTTTTACAAGATTTAGTCAATTCTAGGTTTAGATGGACTACTCAGGTGCTTGTCTCCAGTAGAGCCTGACTTTAAGATAACGCACATGATAATGTTCTGCTCAGATTTTATTGTCAGCTCTCAGAATCTATGAGTCATTGAAAGGGGAGGACTAAAGCTGAGGGTTTCTGTAAGGGGAGGACTAAAGCTGAGGGTTTCTGTCTGCCCCGTAGCCATCTCTGTGAGAGATTGTCTTGACTCATGATAGATGTGCAAGGGTCTAGCCCACGGGTATCGTCTCTACTCAAGTTAGGTAAGCATGAACAAAGTGCAAGACACAGAGTGAGCCAGGAAGCAGGAAGCCCTGCTCCTTCATGATTTCTGCTTCAAGCCTCTGAGCTCTTGCCCCTGACATTTCTCAGTGATGCTTTGGAACCTGGAAGGGAAAGCCAAACAAGCCCTATCTTATCTCCGCTATCATGTCATTTAATTTAAAAAATGTGTGTCTTAGAAGAGAAAAATATTTATATAGTATCTAATAATGATGCCATTAAAATAGCTAAAAATGTAAAAGCTGATTGATTTTGACTAAGCTTGTCTTTGACCTCGAAATCTTTAATCTAATAACTTTGTTAGGTGCTCAACAGGCTACACAGACTCAGATTTCTGTGTGGAAAAGAAATGAGATTTTATCATCATCAGATTTATCTTCCTTCTGGAAAAATACTTCTGCTCAGGTGGTGTGATGTTTTATATTGACTGTCAGCTTCACAGGATCTAGAATCACCTTAGAGATAAAGAGTCCCCAAGTAGAGGAACTTTCTAGATTAGTTTAGTTGATGTGGGGAAAAAAGCTATTGTAAGTACCAGATAAGAAGGAGGAAGCCATCTGAGTACCAGCACCCACCACTTTCTGTCTCTTGAGGTTTCCATGATTCTGGGGTCAAAACTAGAGCTCCTTCTATGCTTGGCCAATACTCTGCCAAGAGCAACTCCCTCAGCCCTGCCCCAATGCTGTTGTTTGTTACCTGTTTGGATGGTTTCCTCACAGAAGAGGTGAAAGCAGAGAATAAGAAGAAAGTTCAGTTCGGCACTCTAAACAGCAAGGATGATGGAAATTTGACAGGCACAAATGAATAGCTTCCTAAACAACTAGCCTCCCAGACCCGGCGCCAGAGCCAGCTATTTCGCCTCTAATCACCACAAAAATAAAAGCTTGCCTGAGACTTCTGGGATCTAATTTGCTGTGTGGAATGTAGGCTCACCAGTTCGGCTGTGTCAGTTATGATAAGGTGTGAGTGGAAATCTGAGGAGAGTGATTTTCTTGTAGCCAAAGGGAAAAGTCAGACAAAACTATTTCTTATTCAAAAATAGAAGAGTAACTGGAACTTTCTCCCACTTGGATTTTAGTTTTGTTTAGAGCCCAAAGCTTAAAAGCACGCTCGTGCGGTCTAAGGAGAGTGTCTGCCTATGCAATGAGTACTTGCAAAGGAATTAAAAACAGGGACTAGCAAGCATTCTTGCATCCTTCGAGAGGCAAGGGGAGTAGGACGGAACTAGAAAGATGGTTGTCTCCAGCCGAGAGACAGTAGTCAGAGGCATTTCCTGGAAGCATGACACGTGTCTTCTGGAGTTTGTGGCACTGACAGGCCGCTGTTCAAGTCTCCCCTGAAAATCAAAGGTCTGGGACTGACAGGCCCTGCCTCTGGTGGGGGGCTGTGAGAGGAAGCTCTGTGCGTTCAAAGACCAGCAAGAACACAGTCTGCAGTTTAGGACTGGGCAGAAGAAAATCGCAGACTGGCCTCAGGCTGCAGTTACAGTCAAAATGACTCCATTTTAGGGATGAGTCTTGAGGACAGCATATCTCCAAAAGTGGAACTTTGAGGGTAAATGGGCACAGTAGCTGAGGAGGGGGGAGGGAAGGAAATTAAGTGCTCCACCAGGTCTATTTAACCTGACTCATTGAGAAAGAAGGCATGTGGGGGGTCTAATGGACATAAAGCTCAGGGGTAGAATGCACCACCTATGTGGCTATCAATGAATAACAAATATATGGCATATATATACACAGTCATCTTCTTCAGCCATAAAAGACAAATGAAACGCCATTTTCAGGAGAGGCTGCAGTTGGAGTCCATCAGATTGAAGGAAGATGTCAGACTGCGAGAAACAATTGTGGTTGGTCTTCTGTCATCTGTGTTTTCTAAATGTTAGAAGCATGAAGTCATGCATGTGCACAGGACATGGGAGTAGAAGAGAGACCAGGGCAATGGATGAAAATAACAGAGAGGCAGGGGAAAGGAGGAATGAATATGTCAAAGTACATAATGCAGTTGTGGGAAAATGAGGTGAAGCCAGAATTTCTCAGGTCCCTTTCCACTCATTCACAGAACAAGGATCAAAGGTGAGGGGGAACGTGACGGTGGTTGTCAGAGGAGCAGCTCCTGCAAATAGGTTTATCAGCCACGTTCAATGAACATGCCATCAGTGGAGGCTAGGCTTCCTAAAAGGCCTAAAAACAGGCTGATTTTAGAGCTCTGAGGGGAGGAAGGTATGCAGCTGGATTTTGAAGTATAGCAATTCTCTCTGTGTGTCCTCCTCCTTCTCCCTCTCTCTGTATGTGTGTGTGCTCTGTCTGTTCTTAATGGACTTTTCCATGCTGCTGGCTGAAGAGTTCTTCATTATCCCTCTGTAGTACTCTGGACATTTTAGGCAGTCTTTAGCATTTTTTTATTCAGTGCCTGGTTGTAGTTCTGCTCCAGAATTACAATGCACACTGGTTCTGATCGGTTAGCTCACTTACTAAACAGTTGAAGATTATCCAGTCTGGAAATATGCATATGAAATATAGAGAATTATCTGGTATTGTAGCAGTAATGAGATTCACTTTGATACCATGATAACCATCTTATTTTTTAAAAATGGTCTCATCAGCGTAGTGGCACATACTTGTACTTGACACACCCAAGAAGTTGAGGCCCAAGGAACATAAGTTTGAATTAACCTGTGTTACATAGCAAGCATCTGTCTCACTATAAAAAAAAAATTGTTCTGCATTGCAATATATACTTTTAGTCTTGAGATAAAATTCTTTTTTTAAAATATTTATTTATTTATTATGTATACAATATTCTGTCTGTGTGTATGTCTGCAGGTCAAAAGAGGGCACCAGATCTCATTCCAGATGGTTGTGAGCCACCATGTGGTTGCCAGGAATTGAACTCAGGACCTCTGGAAGAGCAGGCAATGCTCTTAACCACTGAGTCATCTCTCCAGCCCCCGAGATAAAATTCTTAGAAATCTTTTTTTGAAGGAAACATCATCAAACCCATTTTGTAGTTGAGGAAATCAGAACATAAAAAACTAACTTCCCAAGTTAGCATAAATAGTTGCTCCCAGAGCTGAGTTTTACACTAGAGGCCTCCGCATCCCATCCTTGTATTTATAATGATGCTGACTAATTGACCATCCTTTCTGTTCAACAGGTGTGGCTTGTGAAAACACATTCATAGAAACAACCAAAAAGAGCACTCTCAAAACTGCTTAAGAGGCTCAGAGACTTTCACTGTAAACTATACATCCTAGAATAAACTTGAAGTATATACTTCTATGGTTAGTCATAGCTGTGAATCTTTGCATCCTCTGAGAAAATATGGCTGCTTTTTGTTTTGTTAGATGTGTTTGTGTGAGCATGGATGTGGGCTCATGTGTTTGTCCAGGTGTGCATAGGTATGTGTGCACATGCATGGTAAGGCCAGCAGATAGCCTCTGGTACCTTCCCACAGTATTGTTCATAAAATCTCTCACTGCCCTGGATCTCTTCAAGGAGACTCTCCAGGTTGATCAGAAAGCCCCAGGGTTATACGTGCCCGCGAAGCTTCAGCACTGATAGTATAAGCATATGCCACCACACCTGGACTCTGGACTTGAACTCAGGTTCTAATGCTTTCATGGAAAATGTTTTACCGCCTGAACTATTATGTCCCTAATGCAAAATATATATTTTTAAAAAATAGCAATATTCAAATATTTTATTGTACAGAATAAAAAATTAGTTTATAACCTGCCATCTGATAACATATTCATTTATAATTATATTTTACTGTTTATTCACAAAGGAAATACAGGTTAAAAATAAATGACACCATGATTAAGTAATGTTAGATTGTAGCAAATGTAACAAAGATTTCACTTGTTTGTCCTGGGTAAAATCATATCATCTGAAGGTCAGAAAGCACATTTAGAAGGAACAAATATCAGGAACAAGACTGGGCAGTTGAAAATTAAAGCCCCATGCAACAAGCAGTATGACATTTTAGATGTTAAATGGAACACAATTCAGTTCAGACCGGACAGCTATTGTCAGTCTGGATCGCTGCTTGATCTACAATTTATATGGAGTTGAAGCAGAAAGAATTTTTTCTGCCTCAGCTTCTTGGCTTTTAACACAATGTTTCACAGATGTCTGACCTTTGGTTTTTAATGTGATAATGTGCTCCCAACCGACAAAAACCAAAGCTGATTGTCAGAACAGAAGTTGTTTTTCAAGGAGAATGATCCCGAGTTGTGGACATAAATGACACCATGTATTTTTTTTTTCAGGATGTCTAGTCACATCAAATGCCAACGCACTGGGAATGGTTCAAGAATGGTAGGTAAATATAAAAAGCGGCATATGTTAAAATTTGTTGCACTATTTACTTGAGAAAAAAATGGGTTTTCTTCTTGGAGAAGCACTCTACTTCACGTCTTCTGACACCTGTCCTGTCTTCCGGAGTTTTATTGTGTTGCTGTCGTGAGGTTGGATGTGCTCCTTAGTCCCGCTCCCATCAGCAGTATTTATTGTCCTCAGCACCTATTGCTCTCAGATTCCACTCTCATTTCTTCTCTACAACACACCGTGGAGTCAGATTCAGTAGTACCTTCCCCGGCATTTTGTCATAGATTTCTCAATGGATAGCAAGGAAGACAGGGGCTCATCCATTCTGTGTTACCTTGGCAGATTTTCCTCATTTGGAACTGAGGTTGTTTTGATGCCAGGTTTCTCTAGAGAACCAGAAGTGTAGAATGAATGTATATTACCAGGGGGGACTATTAATCCCTTTACAGAATGCTATCCACAGAGTCCAACACGGCTGTCTTTACACTTGAAGGGCAGAGAACTCTATAGCACTCGGTCCATAAAGCAGAATGCCTCAATAGCTAAGGGTCTGGGTGATTCCTGGAGAGTCACTGGGCTTCAGTCTCCCTGGGAAAAGCCAATACAGCTGGGCTCTGATATCAGACGGCACCAGTACCAGGACATTTTCCTCAGCAATTAGAAGTTAAGAGGAAGCAGTATAGCTTTCCCCTCTGACCTCTTTACATAGATTCTGCAGTCAGAAAGCGTTACCAGCTCTGGGGGAAGATCTGAACCCCTCAGTCATAGTTGCCTGGGAATGCCTTCACAGCTTAATCCAGAGAGGCTGTCTTAGTTGATTCTAGATCCAATTAAGAAACAGTATTATCTCCCCACAGATTCATGATCCGCAAGCTTGGTTACCTCTGCAGTGTTGAGCCATTAGAATTATCAAAAAAAAGGACCTGATGCATGGTATTTGGGTGTCAACTTTAGAAGTTTGAAATGCTTATCTTGTAAAGGGGGAATATTGTCCTGTGGGTGTGTTGGGAAGGTCACGTTCCATAGTGAACATGCCATGTGCATAGTTCCTTCAGCGTGCAGCAGACTTTATTTCTCAACCTAACTGCTCCTCAGTGAAAGCCTCTCTACGATGCAGGAGCATGGGGTATGTGCCCTCCAAATATAAGAAGGGTGAGTCCATATTTAAAGTTACACTGCTTCAGGTATTGTGCTATAGTCACACAGAGGTCTTCATCTGAACATCTTTTTTATTTTCCATTTTTTACTGCTCTTTCCTTCCATCGGCCATCTTAATGCCATTTTCCCTTATCCATCCACTAGCCAAATGGCCCTGGCTTGCAAATGTCCCAATACATGTTCATTCATGCAATCCAAGTCTCTGTGCTCACTGGTATGTTCTTCCCTGTTGCTGACTCTGAATATCGGTCAGTCCTGCACCCATTTGACATAGGCTGCTAACCATCCTGGGCATTTACTCACATCTTCTTGATTAGTGTGGGCTCACAGTTTCTTTAGATATGAAAAGCCTTGTTACTTTCATAGATTCTTCTATATTCCTCCATTAAACTCGTTTCCCTATTTGAATGGAAATGTTCCCAATCCTTAATGCTTTGTCTTAATGATCATCACTCCTCTGTGATTTCTGGTGATATAGCATGCCTTCATGTCAATCTTCACATCCTTGCTGTGACACTTCATCTCTACCTTGAGGAGGTTTATATGTTAACTACATCTCCAGGGTGTTTAGGCTGCAGAAATATCTGTTTCCAGCTGTTTCCCTGTGATCTTATCCCTCCCTCCATGTGTAACAGGTCTTCTTGCACAGTTTTCCTTGTCTTGGGTATATTTTTACAACTTCTCTATTCTCTCCTTCTTTTTCAAATTGTCTGTTGGTTCTGAATTAGTGGAGGAAGCCACATCTTTACAGATAGTAGTTACCACTACATAGCCACAAAACACTATGTACTCAGTTCTCTTGTAAACCCAATACTGTCAGACTAAATCACAGTGGAGAACAGATATGTGAACACCATAGACACAGTTCTAAGAGTTTGTGGTTCTTTGAAGTCAGAGGAGAAAAATCCGGATATTCACTAAATTCTGAAGAGAGGTAAGAGATAGGAAATGGGGGTATGAATGCATTTTTGACCACTCAGCTCTTCAATAACAGAGGTTGAAAATGTCTTTGTCATCGATCTCTTTGGTGTCCCATCACTTCCCGTGCACAGTGAAGATATCTAAAGCCTGAATGAATGGCTAAATGAAATGCTAGCTTTCTAGAATGTGTCAAATACTTTACATTATAAAGTCAGAGACAGAAAACCACTGAGGATTATGGGAACTACAGGGGAGTTGGTATGACAGATTTGCTATATGGCGTAGTTCATGCTAAATGAGTTCAGAACTCATAGGTAATCAAAGCTAATGCCTTGTAATGGTGGAGTGACATGGTTAGGCAGATGTTTTAGGAAATAGTTAGGACCTGAAGAACAGACTTGACTGGTAGGGTGTGTGGAGGAGGCTCTGATGAAGCCCCTCAGATGGTACAACTGAGAAGACATGGTTGACAAACTGCCTGAATTCAGAAGGAGCAGGCATTCTCCTCAGCTGGGTAACCACAGCACTTGTGAAAGGGAGTGACAGGGACAGAGAGCTGTTGATCGGGGGAGGGGGAGGGAAATGGGAAGCGGTTGCGGGGACGAGGCAGAAATCCTTAATAAATAAATAAATTAAAAAAAAAAGAGAGACCCAGTTTAAAAAAAAAAAAGATTTGCTAATATAATTTATTTCATTCTAGGCCTAGTCTTGGTCCTTCAAGGTTATTGACAGGAGATTTGACTTAAAGTATGGTTATTAATAGGATATCTTGACATAGGGTGTGGTTATTTGGAGTTTGGGGTATTAATATCATAATCATAATCACTTTGTTCCTTGTGTCATGGTAAAAAGAAAAAGTCTTTTGCTTTCTTTCTCTTTTTTGGATCGAGATATTTAAAGATTATAAGAAATAAACACGGGCAGCTTCAGTTTTCACTGGGTTGCCCTCCCAACTCTAAAAAAAAAGAAAAAACACTTTCATCGCCATAAATCAAAGGAGGCTTCATATAATTTCTAGGTGTTTGCAGAGCAGGTGTTTGCTCTACATCCCTATATTGACATGTGTCATCTGAAACCTCCAGGTGTCCTTTGCACAGAAATCTCTTGACTCATAGTTAAGGATACATCTCCTAAAGATCTTTCTTCCCACTTTCAGTATGGGTAAACTCTAGGTTGCCAGGGTTTTTGTTTTGCCCAAAGGCAATCCTGCCTGAATCTTATCCATCGTCCAGGGAACCTGTCCCTCAGGCCCTTTCCATTTATATCCCACCATCTGAGCAGATTTGATTTCATTAGTAGGTCGTACTGGGAGTTTTTATTAAATGCACACTCACCATTAGAACCTTACTTATGAACATTAACCACGAAGTCAAAATGATACGGTTCAGAAGCAAGTTCATGTGCAAATAGTTATTGTATGTATATTGTCACGCTCAGTAATATGTTAACTGACTGTAACGGTCCTAATGAGAAATGTACCCCATAAGTTCAGGTGTTGGGACACTTGCTCCACAATTAGTGGTTCTTCTGATGGTGAAGTTCCTGAACCTTGAGGAGGTGGAAGAAAGTACTTGCTGGAGAAAGCACATCGCTGGGGATGGGGTTTGAAAGTTTATGTTCTGTCCCACCTCCAAATCATTCCTGGTTTCCCAGAATCCCTATGTAATGCTATCAGTGAGTTTCAGCCCTGCTCCAGCCAGCTGCTATGCCATCCTTACCATTATGGATGTTCCATCTGGAGCCAGAAGATAAATAAACCCTTCCTTCTATGCATCCCTTTGGTCATGGTGCTCTATATCAGCACCAGGAAAGCAAATGACACACTGGCAACTAGCTTTCCACATTTATTTAACTCGAATTGGGAAGGAGTCAGAGTGTTAAAATATATGTGTATAGCTTTAACACAGTGAGCCTGAGACCACCACTCCTGTCCATAAGAATAATTCCTCTGTTTTCACAATGGAAACCCCGAGGAGGCATCTTTATTTCCTATTTAAACTGCAGCAGAAGTACTGGGCTATTTATCAGAAGAAAATACAAAAATACATATGATGTTTGTTAATAACAAACTGATGTTTGCATAATTCAGTCAAGCTGGAGAAGTTCGCTATTAACTTGCCAACAAATCTCATTCAGCTGAGCACCGCATTTACGGAGAGAGGGAAATCAATTTTATCAGTCACGATATATTTGGATGAGAGATCAATGTAAATTTTTGAATATGCCATTTCTCACTTTTTCTCCAGAGAAGGGAAATCAAAATTTTCCCATTATTAACTGTCATAAAAAAAGGCATTCTTGAGATTGATTTCTGGGTGGATAGTGATAGAATGCCAGATAGTTGGAAATGCAAACATTTGCTTAAATTTGTCTTTCCTCTTATAGAAATTCTACAAGTATCTCTTTTCTTGCCCTTTCTAAATAAGTGAACTACACAATCATAGCTTCTTCTGGCTCCACTTGTAGTGTGTTTTGGTTCTTGGTGTGTGGAAGTAGCAGTCTTATTTGTGATCTAAAACATGACACACTGGGAGCAGTGAGAACCGTGGTGAGAGGCAGGCTGGTGGTCGCGTTTCTGTGACACCCTACCTGAGGGAAGGAGTCCGGCTAATGAGGACAGGGGCCACTCACTGATAAACAGAGAAGCTTGAGATGCCATCCAGAACGCTTCTCCACCCGGTCAGGAGCCTTTGGCCAGACAGACAAACAGAAAACAGTGGCAATCACCTTAGTATAGCTGCCTTATATGGATTCTTCTTTGGGTAGTTGTCATTGATGCAGTGTTCTCGTGACCAGGCTAAGGAGGTATTTCTCTGTCAGTCACCCTTAAAGTTCTCAGTCGACAAAAATCCCTTGTCTACCAAAGTATACCAAATAATAGGAAATAAGAATAATAGTAAATAACACTCCAG